TAGAGAGCAGGAAAGGAGGTGAAAGGAGACAATTTTAGAGAAGAAAATTTTTTGGTCGCTACCCGGATTCGAACCCGGGACCTTTTGAATGAGAGGCCAACACCTTAACCTCTAGGCCACGAGAGCCCCCTGGTTCAGAAGGGAGAGAAGTACTTGTAGTATGTGTGCAATCTACTTCCTCAACCTCTACCGCCCAGGCAAAGCTGCATCATCATGCATACTGCTTTAAGATCGTCAGTCAAAACGCAAAAGGTCACCTATCACCACTGGCTCCTTCCAATATTTCGCTTGTTTTAGTAGGGTTTTTACGGCGCTTACAACTGCATAAGATCATATATGAACGCCAAGGGGTGGGTGTCAACAGAAGTCCAAACGGGAAATCAGGCTTCCTCAGCTCACTTCTCTAGCCTCAACAGCACAAAGTCTGCTTCGACTATCAAAGCACCCAGGGAAATAGCAGTTCATAAGAGAGTGACATACAAAAAAAGTAGAGGGAAAATGACGATGGTAAGAGTTGGGAAAGAAAAAGCAGCAGTTCCCTGTAACTGCTGCAGTTCAGGAACATTTATAAGCATGACATTGTTGAATCAGCCCATTTACAATTTTACTGAACATAAGAACAATGTTAATCCCCCCCCCCCCTTTGGGAATGGCCTTAATACACTTCAGTCGGTAGCACTGCCCTGGTGGTGGTGGGAAGGGGGGGAGGGGGAGGGGGGGATGGAGGGAGGCGTTGCTTGAAGGGAGTCACCAGTCTACAGGGCTGTCCATTGATCGGAATCGTTACGATTTTTGCTCAGTTTTATGAAAATATGATCGAAAGGTGGGGGGGGGGGGGTGTTCAGTACTCCCACTACCAAGGACAACTGTACACATAACTGTACACATTCTCCCTCACCTGCCGTCCAGAGTCCAGAGTGAGTGGTTGAAGTGGTAGCCGCTACTCACGAACTCGCTCTGTGGCCGAGTCATGAAGCTGGGCTCGAACCCTGACCTCTTGCACACAGACTTCGCCAGGTACCTCAGCCGGTGGGTCACGTCCGCCATTTTGATTCCGTACTGCGGCTCCATGGAGAACTGAGAGAGATTAAAGGAAAGAAATAAATAAGTGAATAAATAAACAAATACACCGACGATTGCATGAATGAAAAATAAATAAAGTAATGAATTAATTAATTAATTAACAAATAAAATAAACAAGTAAATGAATACATAAATAAATAAATGCAACAATGAATATATGAATGAATGAATAGTATATATTATATATTCATAAATAGTTAAATAAATAAATAAATAAAATCCAGGACAAACAGACAAACAAACAAACCTCATCTCAATTTGCCCCGGCCCATACTCCTTCATAAAGGTTTCTATGGGAACGCTGGAAGCTATAAGATCTGTCAATTTTGCTGGTACATAAGTAATAACAACTTGTAATGCACAACCGCACAAACAAACAAACAGACAAACAAACCTCACCTCAATTTGCCCCGGCCCATACTCCTTCATAAAGGTTTCTATGGGAACGCCGGAAGCGATGAGATCTGTCATTTGCTGGTACAACATCTTCTGCTCCCCCATCATGTGGAGGTGGTTACACACGTCTTTTACCTGGGTGGGGGGAGTTTACCGGTTTTAAGGCATTTGCAACATCAATTCTTATAGATCCTATGTCATGTCAAGGGACATGACTCTTATCTTTACTGTGGGGACAAGATAATTAAGGGAGCGGCACGCCCTTGGATGACGTCAAGGGTTCCGCGGGAAACAGGCGGAGATCGTCTGAGAGACTCACTGAGGTATTCAGTCGGACTCAGGACCACGACAAGACAACACTTATCTTGGATGGGGCCCCCCTGACAGACCCGACTCATCGGACCGGCAGGTAACTTTACAGTCTTTTTAGTGCCAAAGATTAGAGGTGTTCCTACAGAGTATCTTTTTTTTCGTCCCGTGTCCTGATTTTGGTGGTAATATAAATTGTAAGTTTACGTAAAAATGTATTGACAAGGTGCAAATTGTTGTGTTTCAAGAAAAAAGAACAAAAACACAAAAAGGAAAAGGGGAATTGTTTAGTCGGTGATGATGATGATGATGATGATGATGATGATGATGATGATGATGATGATGATG